AGACACAAGGCTAGTGCAAGAAGTAATGACCATGACCTTACCTGTCGTAGTTTGGTCAGAGTTGACTGGAGCTTTTTGGCTTGAGCTCAGAACATCATCTGGAGCAGCTCTCTCCAAACTCTTGAGCTATAAGTAGTACGCAGCTGGTTACTTATTTGTAGAAACCTTTGAACTATTATCTCTCTCTCTCTCTCTCCCTTTTTTTCTTTTTTTTTGGAATGTACTGAGTTAACCTAGGATGCAAACTTACCCAAATGTTGGTGTTTTTCCGACAGTGTTGTGCTTACTGGGTAAAAACTACACATAAAGCCAAAGTGGTCCTGGAAATAAAGGTCCCAAGGTACAGGGGTTTAAAGGTGTGGTTGAAGGATCAATAAGAAAAGGCAACTTTTGGATTTGTCTGAGGCTCCCACACCGAGAAGAAGAGCTCTCTGCTTAGAGAGAGAAACAGCCTCTACTAGAGAGAGGACGAGTCAAGGCTTTGACTTCTAAGAAACTATTTCAAAAGGTTGAAATATTTTTTCAAAATTAAACAATCATTCTTCTTGTAAACAAGAAGGAACAGGAACAACAAGTATTGAATAAATCCAATGGAGAAGGAGAAGAGAGAATAGAGAGAAGGAAGAAAGAATGAACTGTCAAGAAAGTTCAACTGGAGTTTTGTGTTACGAGTGTACTTTCTAAACTAGGAGTGACTGGCATTTATACGTCTCATGAAAGATACGTTGGAGATTTTTAGTCAAAGAAATATTTTTAGGAGATAAAACTTTATCATCAAGTGGAAAGAGCCAAAACTTTATGCATAAAGTTTAGGAAAACTCTTGCTAAATAGGATAGAAGTAAAACTAAGCTTTACTTCAGCGAGGAAAACTCTCGCAAACTCTTATGCATGGGCCATGCTTAACCCACACACTGGGAGGGGGAATTCATTAGTTTGCGTTGGAGAGGCCCAACTTAGCTCCCCTTATATGGGCTCGAACCTAAACTAGTTACCAACTTAATACAACCCCATTAAGATGCTAAACCTTATAAAATGATTGGAAGTTTCTTTATTTTCTAATGTGGGACAATATCTTTTGAAATACTTAATTATTTACAGCAATCTCCTTCCTATTTCAAAAAATTTTAGACAAAAGTGTAAGTATATAACAAAATAATCTACTGAATTTGTTTGGGTATAATGTAATTAGTTTGGTGTCTTTTGGAATATGAACCAAACTTAGATTGACCAAACATGGCCTACAGAATTATTGGTGAAATATGAATTTTTATGAGCCAATAAATCTTGATGTATGACAGAAATTTTATCAATCACATTGCAACCCACAATTTGCTATTCAATACTGTTTTGTACCTTTAGGTCATGCGCCTGCCTGGTTATTCATGAAAACTTTAAATATTTGGCCAAAAAAATCTTATAGGAACTCACTGAACTCTCATATAGGTGAATTTATCGAGTGTACACTACTTAAACACTTCATCCCAAAGGAATACAAATTCATTAAGGGTTTTGTAGACACCAAAATTTCGTCAAAATTTTAATGTTTTCTTGAATACTTTTTTTTATTATTGAATTATTTATTTTCTTACATTTTTTATATATATTTACAGATTTGTTTCTTTTTTTTAAAAAAAAAAAAAGAAAGAGGAAGTGGCATTGGCCATCATGATGTTTAGATATCATGATGGCCACCAAATTTTGCTTTGACCAAGCTTTGGCGGACAAGATTCCAGAAACGAATGGAAGAAGCAATGAAAAAAGGCCAAAAAGCAAAAGAAGAAGGAAAAGCAGCTTTCGGCTTCCATTATTGACACTTTCTCTTGGACAAGATAAAGGGACAAGAAGCAAGAGAGGAAGTAGAGGGGGCGGAAGAGAAAAACCAGGGAAAAGAAGCAAGAAAGGGAGGGAGAGACCACAGATGAGCTCAGGGAAAACGAGAGAGGAAAAGAGAAAAACGCAGAAATTTCCTCTGCAAAACCCACAACAAGGCTAACGTTTCAGCCTACTTTCCTCCAGAATCGTTGCTGCCATACACCTGGTTCAACTGGCAACATCACTCAAAGCTGTTTCCATCTGCTTTTGCTCACACAAATCCAGTCCATAAGCACCTCTACGTATCCCCAAAACTTTTGCTTGTTTAATCTGACGTTCATGTAAAAATATGGGTGCACTCATGGAAGTATATGCTTATAAGTAATGGGTTTCATTATTGCATAAGTTCATAGTTTAGCAAAGATTATGAGCATGCAAATTTGTAATTTAAATTCTTTTTGGAGGATTTTTTGGAATGAGATTCAGTTTGTTTGACTAGAAGATTTTCAGATTTCATTGGATTCTCTTTTCCTTTTTGGTCTCAGATGGAAACCGAAGTCTCTTGTTATTTTTCCTTGCCTTTCGTTTGTTTTTTTACGCTGCTTTGAATTCCTTGAATAAAATGTTTTGTTATGAAACTTTGTCGAGAAAATGGATTGAGGTCTGGATGTTGATTTAGTTGATAAATTATTGGCTTTTGTTGGAGTTTTTCTTTGCATAAATGGTCGCTAGGTTGAAGAAAGAAAGTTGCAGAACAATGAAGAAGAAAGCTATCTTCGTGGCTTTGCATGAAAAACTTTCAGAAATTGCACTTCAGCCCCTCAAGTTTCCCATAATGTTATTTTGACCCAAAAACTTTTTGCAATCGAAACATTTATGCCCCTATTGAGTTCTGATCCTATTTTCCATGTTTAAATGCGTTTTTAAGTAAATTATTTCTGGATTTTAGAGTATAATTAGTTTTTTAATAAATTTTAGTAGATTTTTATCTAATTGAGTTTAGTAAAAATAGTTGGAAGATTGGATTGAGGTTTGTTTGGTTGAGTTGGTATAAAATCTGGTTTATTTTGTTTGGGATTTAGAAGTGGACTTTGGCTTATTTTTTATGGGTTTGAGCATGGGCTTGGCAGATTAAAACCCATTTATTTGGCTTGGGTTTTATTCGTTGAAAAATGAGGGCTGGCCTGCATATTTGTTTGGATTTTCGTCTGGGTCAGAAGGAGATTTTAGCCCAAACATTTAGGGCCCGTTTGGAAGGTAAGTTTTTTGAATATTTGTTTAAAACTTTACTGTAGAAGTTTTAAGAAAAATTTTTAGGTTGAAAAACTTTTTTATGTTGAAAAATTTTTTTCTTTCTTTTTCTTTTTCTTTTTCTTTTTCTTTCTTTCTTTTTTTCTTTTCTTTTCTTTTCTCTCTTCTTCTTCTTCTCCTTTCCCCCTCCCCCGGCACCTCTGCCCCTTCCTCCCTCTCCTTCTCTGCCCCTCTGCCCCTCTTTTTCTCTCCCCCTCTTCTCCCTCTCCCACTCTCCCTCTCCTTCGTGTCTGTGTATTTGTCTTTTAGTGAAGTCTCGATGTATTTTGAATTTAATGAAATTGAAGATTTTATTAATCCATGGCTGCAGCTTGCAAGTTCTCTGGCGTCGGAGGCCGCCAGGGAGGGGGAGAGTGGGAGAGGGAGAAGAGGGGGAGAGAAGCAGAGGGGCAGAGAGGGAGAGGGAGAGGGAGGAGCCATGGATTAATAAAATCTTCAATTTCATTAAATTCAAAATACATTGAGACTTCACAAAAAGACAAATACACAGAAACTTTATTCGTGTCTGTGTATTTGTCTTTTTGTGAAGTCTCGATGTATTTTGAATTTAATGAAATTGAAGATTTCTTCTGTATCTTTTATTTATTTATTACGTATGTTCTATTTTCAGATAGTCACAAATAAAATTCTTTAACTCTTTGGATGTCACCATTTTGGAATTCGATAGCTGCAATCTCAATATCTCTCATGAATTTGAAATCATACAATCTGAAATTCGAAATGAGAGCGATACTGAGGAAGAATTTGAGTCTATTTCAAGGGATTTAGAACAGTATGAAGAGAAACCCAAACCCAATTTAGAAGAAACAGAAATCATCAATATTGACACTAAAATAGAGGTCAAGGAAGTTAAAGTAAGCATTCATTTGAATAAGAAACAGAATGAGGAAATGATTGAATTCTTAATACTATTTCAAGATGTGTTTGCATGGTCATACGACGATATGCCAAGGATTTCTACAGACATAGTGGTTCACAGGTTGCCAACTAATTCAAATTCTTTACCTGTAAAGCAGAAGCCACGAAAATTTAAGCTAGAAATGAGTCTCAAGATAAAGGAACAAATTATGAAACAACTCAATACCAAGATAATCATGGTGTCTTATTATCCCATCTGACTCTCGAATCCTGTACCAGTGCTTAAGAAATCTGGGGAGGTGCGAGTATGTGTTAATTATAAACATCTGAATAAGGCCAGTCCAAAAAATGATTTTTCTTTGCCAAATATTCATATTCTTTTGGACAATACCGCTAGACATGAAATTGAATCTTTTGGTGATTGTTTTGCTGAGTATCATCAAATCTTAATGGTAGAAGAAAACAGAGAGAAAATCTCTTTTATCACCCCATGGGGAACCTTTTATTATCGAGTGATACCTTTCGGGTTGAAGAATGCTGGAACCATTTATCAGAGGACCATGACTACCCTGTTCCATGATATGATTTACAAAGAGATGGAGGTATCCAAGAAGGTCGAGGACCATTTGGTTGATTTAAAGAAGCTGTTTGAAAAATTGAGAAGATATAATTTGAAATTGAATCCTGCGAAATGTGTTTTTGGAACCCCTGCTGGCAAATTATTGGGTTTTATTGTCAGCAAAAAGGGTATAGAGATTGATCCTGTGAAAATAAGAGCAATTCGAGATATGTCCATTCCAAAAACTCAAAAAGATGTGAAGAGTTTTCTTGGAAAGATTAATTTTATTGGTCGATTCATTACACAATTAACCTCTACCTGTGAGTCTTTGTTCAAGCTGTTGAAAAAGAATGCGCCGATGGATTGGAATGAAAATTGTTAGCAAGCTTTGATAAGATCAAGAATTATTTGTTAAATCCTCCGATATTAGTGCCATCTTAGCCAAGAAGACCTCTGACTATGTATTTATCTGTTCTTGATAAAGCTGTTGGATGCGTCCTGGGACAGCATGACGAAACTGGGAGGAAGGAACAAGCTATCTATTATCTGAGCAAGAAATTTACAGCATATGAGGCCAACTATTCTTTTCTTGAGAGAAGTTGTTGTGCTTTAGCATGGGCAACTCAAAAGTTGAGACATTATTTGCTCGACTATACCACTTACCTGATTTCACGTTCTGATTCTCTAAAATACCTGTTAGAAAAGTCGATGCCCACGGGACATATGGCTAAGTGGCAAATAATCCTTTCCGAGTTCGACATTATTTTCACAACACAAAAGACAGTCAAGGGTCAAGCCATAGCAGATCATTTGGCAGAAAATTCAAGAGATAATGATTGCCAGCTATTGCATACCTACTTTCCTGATGAAGAAATTCTATTCGTTGGAGCAGTTGAGGACATGAGTGAGCAGTATCTTGGATGGAGGTTATTTTTCGACAGTGCATCAAATTCTTTTGGAGCTGGAACTGGAACAGGAACAGTTTTAGTGTCGTTTGAAGGGAAACACTATCCTGCTACTGTCAAATTACGATTTTCTTGCATCAACAACATAGCCGAGTATGAATCTTGTATTTTTGAATTGAAAATGGCATTGGACATGAAGATTAAGGACCTGAAAGCATTCAGTGGTTCCGATTTACTTGTGCACCAGATGCTTAAGCAGTGGGTAACTCGGGATTCAAAAATTATATTGTATTATTGTAGTTTGCTCAGTTTGGCTAACAAATTCAGGTATTTGGAACTCAGACATATTCCCCGCACTCGTAACGCCTTTGTTGATGCTTTAACTACTCTGTTTTCGATAATCCAACATCCAGATGAACTGGTGATTGAACCTATACAGATTCAATTTCAAGATAGGCCAGCGCATTGTCTAGGTACAGAAAGGGTCTCTGATATTCGCCCTTGGTACAATTACATTAAGGAATTCGTAAAAACGAGATCCTACCCTCCTGATGCTGATTCTATTGCAAAAAGTTTTTTACGCAGAATGTCCTCGAGATTCTTCTTAAATGGAGAAGTGTTATATAAGAAAATTCTAATTTGGGCCTTCTGAGATGTATTGATGTAGAGGAAGCTGATTATATGATGAATGAAATGCATAGTGGGGTTTGCGGGTCACACATGAATGGGCATCTACTAGCTAAGAAAATCATGGGATTAGGGTATTTTTAGTGTCAAATGCATGGTGATGTCATACGTGCTCCCCCTACAGAACTGCATGGCATGACTGCTCCGTGGCCATGTTCGATATGGGGAATGGATGTGATTGGAGTAATTGATCCTCCTGCTTCGAATGGGCATCGATTCATTCTAGTGGCCATTGAATATTTTACCAAATGGGTTGAGGCCTCATCCTATAAGCATGTGACTAAGAAAATGGTGTCGAATTTCTTGAAAAATAATATCATCTATCGTTTTGGGGTACCAGAAACAATGATCACTGATAATGCCAAGAACCTCAACAATGATATAATGGATGAATTATGTGAACAGTTCAAGATTAAGCATTGAAATTCTGCCATTTACAGGCCTTAGATGAATGGAGCTGTCAAAGCCGTAAATAAGAATTTGAAGAAGATCATTCGTAAGATGACGGAACCACACCGGGATTGGCATGAGAAGCTGCCTTATGCATTGATGGCATATAGAACTACTATCAGGACTTCTACCGGAACAACTCCTTACTCTCTTATGTATGGAATGGAAGCAATATTACCTGCAGAGATTGAAATTCCTTTCTTACGCATTCTGATGGAAGCTCGGATAGAAGAAACTAAATGGGTCAGAGAACGTCAGGAGCAGTTGTTTCTGATTGATGAAAAGAGATTGAATGCCGTCTGTCATGGACAATGTTATCAGCAACGAATGACCCAGGGTTACAACAAAAAAGTCAAGCCCCGTTTGTTTGAAGTTGGAGATAAGGTTTTAAAATAGATTCGTCCAATGCAAGATGAGACTAAAGGGAAGTTTGCTCCCAATTGGCAAGGACCATTCATTGTTAAGAAAGTATTATCCGGAGGAGCGCTTATCCTTATGAAAATGGATGTCAAGTTTTTTCCCAATCAATCAATGTAGACATGTGAAAAAGTTTTTTATTTGATTATAAAAAATTTTTCTTTAAAAATACTGCAAGAGACGAATTTAAGGCATACTTCCTCTCATTTTTTCATTTCGATATTCTATTTCTAATTTCTCCCTTTTTGACTTTTCAGCACCACCTTCTTTTTTTTTTCCTCTCACTTGGCAGTCCCTTAAAATCACTAACCCCAATACTGGGGCAATTTTGTTTCTTTGAAAAAAAAAGAACAAAAAAAGAACAAAAAAAGAAGAACAAATAGCAAAAAGAAAAGAAAAATAGAAAAATTGGATTAGAATTAAATTGGGGCAAATTTTATCTCTTTCAACCCTAGATCGGATCAAGTTTTCAAAAGAATGCTATCTCAAATGATTGCAAACCCATCATAGGATCCACTTTCAAGTCTCAACCTTTCCTCCACTATTTCGTCCATTCCTAATTACAAGAGTTCAAAGTTGCCTACTTTCATCTTTTGCAGTATTTTGAGAAAAAATTTTCTTAATCAATTGGCAAATGATGTAAATACAACTTTTCTGAAATATGTCAGAGATGCTTGTCTCACTGATGCCACAAATTATCAAAATATAACTAGATTGATACAGTTGGGGTTAAAATGTTCTTGTCTATGTCTTAAGGTGAAAACCTGAAAAGGCTTCAGAAAAAAAAAAGAAAAAAAGAGAAGAAAAAAAGAAAAAAAAAGAAGAAAAGAAAATTGGGTGGAGGTAATCTTAGTGAAAACACGAAAGGGCGCTGAGGTAGGGTTTTGGAATACAAGAGGATCATCAACGAAGAAGAAGATACTGACGTTTGAGAGCTGGTGACTATGTTGATTTGGATCTCTTTCATACTGTTATTCTTTTGCCGATAATGAATTATAAAATGGATGACGTCGAAGGGGTCAGATGGAGCACTTATTTTCATCAAAGGCTGTCTTCTAAATATGTGTCCAACTTTTGACATTTGGACCCGTGTTCATAAAGCTAATAATTTTGTTTTTTTTTTTTACTATTGTGTTTATTAGGTACCATTATTTATTTCATATCAGCATTATCGCATGATGTATAATACATTTTTTAATTGTTTATATTTCTCATTTATTGATCTCATTCAAAAAACAATCCCTTTAATTTATCCCAAAGGAGTCAGGAAATTGAAGGTGCTATGATAATAAAGTATGGATAATTGATATTAGAAGGTTGCAAAGATTCTGAAGAGGTTGTGGACCAAATCTAAGGGAGCAATTTGTTGATATTGAAACTCATGTTTACACGGCACTCAAGGCAAATGGATCACATGGTGGTGGTACTGTTTCTATCACAGTTGTTTCTTTTCTTTTTCTCCTTTTTGCAGGAAAAATTATGTGAAACAATACTGGTACAGTTGAGCATGATTCACACTAGGGCAACGGTAGAAGGATTGAGCTCCAAGTTTCGCTGTGCATTTCGAAAGAAAGAAAAGAAAAATCACTAGTTCCTTTCTTTTAAAGTTCGAAAAATCAAGAAGAGATTGTAAGTCCACCAAGTTTCGAGCATATTTCCATTCTCTTGATAGGCATTTAGGTTTGGATTCAGTCCCATTGAACTACTTAGATCCTTGACAAAAATCAATTTAATTTTTGTTGGTGAGCCTCTGCGTTCACCGCGCACCCTTCTATCCCCCTTCTTAACAATTTAATTTTCTGTTGATGAATCTCAACGTCCATCGCGCACCCCTCTATCCCCCTGCTTGACAATCAAATTTTATTTGAAAATATTTCATTTCAATTGGGTTCGGATCTTATCCCACCAATGTATCATTCAATTGGGTTCGGAATGCACCACACCAATCTGGGGCATATTCCACCAATCCATCATTTTAATTGGGCTCGGGTTGTATCAAACTAATCTATCAATTGGGTTCGGATCATATCTCACCAATCTGTTATTTCTTGAAAATCAAATTTAATTTCCTGTTGATGAGTCTCAGCGTCCACCGCGCACCCTTCTATCTCCTTTCTTGACAATTTAATTTTCTATTGGTGAGTCTCAGCGTCCACCACGTACTCTTCTATTTCCCTTCTTGACAGATCAAAAGATCAAATTTAATTTCCGATTGCTGAGTCTCAATGTCCACCGTGCACCCTTCTATCTCCCTTCTTGATAAATTTAATTTTCTATTGGTGAGTTTCAACATCCACCGTGCACCCTTCTACCTCTGTTTTTGACAGATCAGAAGATCAAATTTAAATTTCTGTTGCGGAATCTCAGCGTCCACCGCGTGTATTTCTATCTCCCTTCTATCAAATTTAATTTTCTGTTGATGAGTTTCAGCGTCCACCACTGCACACCCTTCTATCTCATTTCCATTAAATTTAAATTTCTGTTGGTGAGTTTCAGCGTCCACCGCGCACGTTTCTACCTCCCTTCTTGATAATTTAATTTTCTATTGGTGAGTCTCAGTGTCCGCCGCACACCCTTCTACCTCACTTCACGACAATCGTATTTAAATTCCTTTTGGAGCGTAACCACGTCCCTCTGTGCATCTTTTTCAAATTATGACAGTATACTTTTCTTGACTGTTTTGGTTAATTATTGTGCTTTCTCAGTTATCTTGTGTTTCGTGTTAGAACTTCTGAGAACTCAGACTTTTTCGACTTTGCAAAGATCACGGATGGTCAATGCACATGTTTCATTGTGGTTTACTTGTATTTGAACTACGTTTGACCTGATTCCGATGACGGGATACATAGGCAACTTTACATGAGTTCGGTCACGTATTTTGTAACCTTGTTGCATAATTTTACCTAATAATAGCCAATTATTGGCTTGTTATTTTAGTTCAGGCGCAGTTAAAAGACACAGGTAAGTAACTTGGTATCTACGTCTTTGTCTTGAATTTTTTCGAAACTTTAGATAAAGAGGGGCAAGCTATAGACACCAAAATTTCGTCAAAATTTTAATGTTTTCTTGAATACTTTTTTTATTATTGAATTATTTATTTTCTTATATTTTTTATATATATTTACAGATTTGTTTCTTTTTTTTAAAAAAAAAAAAAAGAAAGAGGAAGTGGCGTTGGCCATCATGATGTTTAGATATCATGATGGCCACCAAATTTTGCTTTGACCAAGCTTTGGCGGACAAGATTCCAGAAAGGAATGGAAGAAGCAATGAAAAAAGGCCAAAACGCAAAAGAAGAAGGAAAAGCAGCTTTCGACTTCCATTATTGACACTTTCTCTTGGACAAGATAAAGGGACAAGAAGCAAGAGAGGAAATAGAGGGGGGCGGAAGAGAAAAACTAGGGAAAAGCAGCAAGAAAGAGAGGGAGAGACCGCAGATGAGCTAAGGGAAAACGAGAGAGGAAAAGAGAAAAACGCAGAAATTTCCTCTGCAAAACCCACAACAAGGCTAACGTTTCAGCCTACTTTCCTCCAGAATCGTTGCTGCCACACACCTGGTTCAACTGGCAACATCACTCAAAGCTGTTTCCATCTGCTTTTGCTCAGACAAATCCAGTCCATAAGCACCTCTAGGTATCTCCAAAACTTTTGCTTGTTTAATCTGACGTTCATGTAAAAATCTGGGCGTACTTATGGAAGTATATGCTTATAAGTAATGGGTTTCATTATTGCATAAGTTCATAGTTTAGCAAAGATTATGAGTATGCAAATTTGTACTTTAAATGCTTTTTGGAGGATTTTTTGGAATGAGATTCAGTTTGTTTGACTAGAAGATTTTCAGATTTCATTGGATTCTCTTTTCCTTTTTGGTCTCAGATGGAAACCGAAGTCTCTTGTTGTTTTTCCTTGCCTTTCGTTTGTATTTTTACGCTGCTTTGAATTCTTTGAATAAAATGTTTTGTTATGAAACTTTGTCGACAAAATGGATTGAGGTCTAGGTGTTAATTTAGTTGATAAATTATTGGCTTTTGTTGGAGTTTTTCTTTGCATAAATGGTTGCTGGGTTGAAGAAAGAAAGTTGCAGAACAATGAAGAAGA